GGGATTTCAAAATGTAGAATAGATAAACAAGATTATACTGTATAGCACAGGGAAATATATACAAGATCTTGTGGTAGCTCACAGCGAAAAAAAAATGTGACAATGAATATATGTATGTTATGTATAACTGAAAAATTGTGCTCTACACTGGAATTTGACACAACATTGTAAAATGACTATTACTCAATAAAAAATGATTTAAAAAAGAAATATTCAAAAAAACCCTGAGATTCTGTTAGTCATACCTTCATGAATACATTTTGATAGGGTAGATAAGGGGTTTCCAAAAAACAACAAATGAATTTTTACCTGTGATCCCTTAATTTCACGATGGAAAGTGTCTGTAGTTTCTTTGACTAAAGCAGTTAATGCATAATACTCAGGTGATGAACGCTGGACTTCTTGCTCTATGTCTAGATTAATTCCATCCATATGTTGTGTTTTGGCCAACTGAACTTGCTTAGCTATCCAGGATGCTCTGAAAGTAGCATTTTTGATATCCTTTACAGATACATCTCCTATGGAAGAAATATACATATTTTGTACATATATGCTTTTCACAGTTTAATAAAATTTACTTTACAAACCCATTCCAAACAGATCAAATGTCTTTAAGATATCTTGTTTATTTGGAATTCTAAGCCCCCAGTTCAAGTTTTCCAAATGAAGAAATAATATATCAAAATCACAGAAAATCATTAGTCATTAATTTACAAAATAACCGTTATGCATAATTAGTAATATCATTCTCAAAAGCAGAAATTGTGGACTACGGCTAGCAAAGGGTCATTATGCTAATCAGGATTCACATTTAAATATTTAAAAACATATCTGAGAAATAAACAGTATCTAAGATTAATTTTAGGAAAAAAATTTTAGGATGCTATAAAATATACTAGGTAAACACGAAAAGGGAATTTGCTGGAAATACAGGATCACAGATGATGCAAGTAAACTTACCAATTGTATAGACACGTGGTAAAAACTGTAACTCACCTTTTAGCACTACCCTGGCCCCTTTTGAATGAGCATGGCACATAAGTTCTGGGTCATAATCTGCAAAAAGTACCACAGTTGTAATCTGTGACCAGTCATAATATTTCCAAACTTTATGTCCAACATCAAACACAAAGACCTGTCAAAACAACAAGGATAAGCACTTTCACTTAAAGCAAGAAGAATAACACACTGACCACCCAAAGTAACATTAATTAAACATCAGTCACATGCCAGGCACTGGTGGACACAGAGTAGAACAGTGAACAAGACATAGGGGTCCCAATATAATTGGTGGCAGAGGAAATTAGTGGGGTCCAGAAAGTAGGAGAGGGCAGGCTAGGAAGAAATAGTGGAAAGTGCCAAGGCCTGGAGGCAGAGAGAGCGTGGTGGTTTGTAACTAAATACTGAGTAGAGCTGATGTCTGGAATTTGGAGGGAGACAGCAGTAAAGAACGAGAGAGTGGTAGGCAGGGTTACATCATGAAGGGATTTGCAAGCCCGCTTGAGACATTATCCTGAGGGAAGGGTTTTAATAAGAGAATATACATCTTTTAGGTATGCATTTTAGAAAAAGTCAGCTGGAGTGGGAAATAGTTTTAAAGAGAGGCTAAAAGTGGAGGCAGAACATGTAATAGGAAAGCTGCTGGAAGACTGGAGACAAGTGGAGGAGGTGAGCTCAACTGAAGTTGTAGAGCAGCAGAGATTATGAGATAAATGAATAGACCTGGAAGATCCTACGGAGGCAAAATGAACAGAACTCTGACTGACTGAATGAGTAAGGTAAGAGAAAGGGAGGCGGTTAAGACTACTCGCGTTTCTGGCTGCTCCAGATGGACCCACAGACACTGCATTGAGGCAAAATGAACAGAACTCTGACTGACTGAATGAGTAAGGTAAGAGAAAGGGAGGCGGTTAAGACTACTCGCGTTTCTGGCTGCTCCAGATGGACCCACAGACACTGCATTTCCTATGAGTGATTTTTGGTGAGCCTGACTTCTTAGAATAGTGCTCAAGTTAAATGCTAAAGTGGTTGATATTATGTTTCTCCCATATATTTTTTTCCATAGATAATTCTAGATGCACAGAAACACTGATCATTTTTACTTTACTCCAAATAAGGTGTTAATTCATTGATTTAGCAAATATTTATTGAATCCCAATAAGGCATAGGCGGGGTATATTGCCAGGCATTAGTGACATGGACCAGTTCCATTAGTTATTTAATAGTGTTAAGGGCTACATGGGAATGCAGGGCACTATGACAGCATATAAAGGGGACCTGTGACCTGGTAGGGCAGGAAAACTTCCCTGAGGACTGCATTCTTTAGGGGAGGACTAAAATGTGGGCAATGACCTAGACAGGATGGAGGAGGGGTACCCATAGACCAAAAAAGAGCATTCTCAGCAGAGGGAATAAAAAAAGGCAAAGGTCTCGAATTTTGGGAGCCAAAAGAAGGTCAATGCGGTTGGAGCACAGAAATCCTGAAAGTATGTGGAAACATAAATCTACTGAGATAGGAGGTAGCAAGATCAAGCAGGGCTTCACAGACCACTGAGGATTTTCTATTTTCTCCTGAGATGAACAGGAGGCCATTAGAGTGTCTTATGCATGAGGATCATAAGATTTGCATTAAAAAATATAAGAGACAAACAGTCTGGGAGAGGGAGAGGGGGGAAAGCGAGAGAGAGGGGTATCAATGATCACTGGGCCACTGTGAGGACAATGGATGAAGGAGTGTGGGGAGAGCTTGCTGTAAAAATTAAGCCAGACTTTTCCTAATTTTCAATTTCCTTTTCGGCTTTTTGTTTGCTTTTCAGAATTAACTGTGCATAACCCATTTTACTAAGCAACTGCCCACTGAAAAAATAAAAATTACAGAATGTGAGATTGAACAGCCCCTTGTTTTTAGATTTTTTAGATTCATATGTCCATCACAAACCTTACCCTATTTCAATTCTGATAACTAAGATTGAATTTATTAAAAATATATAGATAGCTTGTGATATAATAGAAATCAGCTTGATGAACCAGTTGAAAAATATAAGGGAAAAAGTAGGGCACCTTCGTCTTTGTGTCTGAAAAATGTAGGTCTGTAGAGAAAAGACCATTTACTACGAACATACAAATGAACAGAATTTTGCTTTTTTGCATAATTGGTTTTTTTAGAGGCCCACAGACACTGCCTACCCCACTAAGAGGCACTGGGTGCTACAGGAAGTCTCTCAGATGTTGGGCTTCCACACTAAGCAGGTCCTCCAGACATACTTCCACCATTTTTATTTCTTCTTAGCAGTTTACATGTACTTTTTATTGACATTTAAATGTTCCTGCCCCAAATGTAATCTGCTCGATTAGCCACTGTCTTTACAAAAGAATTGCTCTTTTGAACTAAGCTTTTCCACCTGCCTGATGTGTCCAGTTCCTGCTGCAGTCATCAAAGGCCAAGCAGCCAGGTCGTCTTCACATTGCCTCTGAAAGGGTGTTCCCTTAAAGCTGCCCAAGACCTTATAAATAGGTAGGTAGAAGGAGACCTATTTTTGTCCCCTTTCTTGGGTGGCAGATATAGAAAAACAAGGCAAGCAGAACAGTGTCTTCCACTGGACTTTGGCAGTGCTGAGATTCTTTCAAACTCATCCTCATTCTCTTGGAAACCAACGGGTCTTACCACTTAGCGGGTACCTCCTTCCGCGACCTCGCTGCTTGTCTGGCCAGAGCGTCTCCGGAGAGGCACAGCACGGCAACGCAAGGAGCTTGTACCTGGAGTCAGATCTGGGTCGGAATACCACTTACTGTGAGACCTGGGAAGAGTTACTCAACCTCTCTGAGCCTGAGTTACCTCTAAATTTGAAGGAAATCTGAACAGACGGGCCCTCCGTGAGTGGTTAAAGTCGGTTTTGCACCCCAGCACCTCATTTGAGGGCTCGGTTCTTCTACTGTAACTCCTCTTAGGTCCTTGAGGAGCAGACCCGGAGGGTCAGGAGAGAGAGGCACTGACCTCGAAGTTGAGGCGGTGGGTGATCGGGTTGCACAGCGCTGGGTTCTTGCACGGGCAGTTGGCCCCGGCCGCGAGGGGCAGAGCCAGCAGCAGGGGCAGCAGCAGCGGAGCAAGCCCAGGAGCCCCCGCGCTGGGAGGGAACGACGAGGCGCCGGCTCCGGAGCTGTA